TGTGTGTGTGTGTGTGTGTGTGTGTGTGTGTGTGTGTGTGTGTGTGTGTGTATGTAATACATAGGGATATGCTGAAAAGCCAAGGATTGTAAAAGTGTCGACCAAATATATTTCCGGAGCTGTCCAGGCTGACATGAGTGCCTTGATGGAACTGTTTATCAAATGCAGGAGCCATCTTCTTAGGACTGGCCATCCTTTCGTCTTTAAAGTTTAAGTAGTCCTCATTTTCAGTCTTAAGCCAAGACATTTCCTGTTGTAATTGGGGTCCCATTTACTTAATAGGCAGGGAATTAATGCAGCTTGTCATAATTGCTGGTTCCATCCCCTTACCCCCTTTTAAGTTGCTATTTTTGCTTCTCTGTCTGCTCTGTGGTAACCCTGGGCAGTGGCAGCATTTCCCTTTTGCAACGTGCAAGGAGACAGATAATTTTAGCCACATTATCAGCGACAGCAGCCAGGAACCGGGAGATCTCTGTATGAAGGCTTGGTCCAGGGTCATCAATATGTATTTTAGTTTTTTTTAAATTTTAATCTCTCCCCTTTTTTATTGTAAGCTACATACCCTTCCCATACCTGTTTAGCAATGGTGTAGACCTCCCCCATATAACATAATGTATTGTATACATTGTTGTTTTTTGTATACACAGTTTACATTGCACAGTATACATTAGTTTTAATTGTATACATATTGTAACTTTATAACTTAAGTATTGTATCACATGTAGCCTGGAGTCCCTCCTGACTTCCCTTATCATAGAATGCACATTGATTAGAATCTAATCCCTGGAGAATACATGGACCTTTCTAATCAAAAGGACAGGAAATTGATCAGAGCTGTGTTGTATGATATTTTGTTCGTGCTCTGACAAATAAAGCTTGCCTGGTGATCAGAGGGCGGAGCTAGCCACTAGTTAACCATAGAGGCTAGGTGGTAGTGGCTCACACCTTTAATTCCAGCATTTGGGAAGCTCACGTCTTTGATCCCAGCACAATCAGGAGATGGAGACTGAAATATAAAGCAGGTGGAGACAGGATCTCGCCCCCTCCCCTCTTTGTCCGAGGATTGAGAGAGGCTGGAACTCTCTGGTGGCTGCTCCCCTGCTTCTCTGATCTTTCAGGTTATTACCCCGACATCTGACTCCTGGTTTCTATTGATAAGACTAAATAGATTCATGCTTCAGAGCTGTCTCATTGTCCCCATGGATCTCAAGGACCAAAATATTGGATGTCTTCTTTGACCCTCTTATCCCTTTTTGTGTAGGCCTTCAAGATTTGCTAAACACCCAGGACAGCATGATTGGCCTTATGCTTTAACTCCGTAGAGCGATTAGATAGCATCTACACAGAACAACCCAAAGAGTTTTTAAGAAATAAGTCTTGGCTTTGTTGTGGCTAAAGTTTAACAAAGGAGTCAAAAACTTAAGTGATTGTCTTGATTAGACACAATTTTAGAGTTAGTATCTCTTACCACAAATAGATCATTATAACCTTAGGAATTTTAATCAACTTTAATTATTAAACATATATCGGCCTTAAATTCCATCCTCTGTGAGCCTTCTATAATTTATTTAGAACTTTTATGACTTGGCTTAGGCTTTATGGTTTTGTCCTCGTGTAGTGTGTGTGTGTGTGTGTGTGTGTGTGTGTGTGTACACGTACATTAAGGGATTCTTGGGGGTCAGGCCTGCATTTTAAGGAAGTCATTGCCCAGGCCAGCATAACTTTAAGGCTACCTTTTTTTTCCCCCCGAGACAAAGAGTTTTTTTGTGTAGTTTTGGTGCCTGTCCTGGGTCTTGCCCTGTAGACCAAGCTGGCCTTGAACTCACAGAGATCCACCTGGCTCTGCCTCCCGAGTGCTGGGATTAAAGGCATGTGCCACCACTGCCTGGCTTTAAGGCTACCTTTTAAAGAGGCTTTCAGCTAAGAGAGAAGAGAGAGCTTGTCATCAGTCTACGTAGGAGAATTGATCAGGGTGACCCGCACCCACTGTGACAGCTCTGAACATTTTGTTGGTCTCCCCTTTTCTAATAACCCTTCAGTAGCCATCTCATCCCAGATGATGGGCAATCTAGTTTACAAAAGGTCCAGTGTTCTGGAAGACACTTTGACCTTACATTTCCCTCAATGTCCTTTCTTACGATTTGAAGAGTGTTGGCTTACTCTGTTGTCCTCCCATTTCTTCCCAGTAGGTGGCGCTCATACACAAGAGGGAAGAGTGGGGAGATTTTCGGATAGGTATCATTTACTTCATCCTGGAGTCTCTTGGCATATGGCAGGTTCATATAAGCCCAAACCTGGATCTGAATTCTCAGGAAGGGAAAAAGTGGCCCCAGAGTCATATGCGGCCTTTTATTTATTCAGCGGTACATATCCATGTGACTACAAACCCTCACCTACTGCTTAGAAGTCACTTAGAGTGATGTTTTCCCAGATTATTTACATAGCTCAAGGCTTCTTAGAAGGTAATCAATCAATTTTCTTTTCTACCCAAAGAAATATGTTGACCATATCCAAAAACAATTGAACCCAGGTTCTTATTAGTCTGATGGGAGAGGTTCCCTGACCTGGTTCCCGGGACTGGGTTCCACTGCACTTTTGGAGATGTCCCAGGACCCCCTAAAATTGGTATTGAGTGGTCTGTTGGTGCCAGGGAAGCCAGCACCTCGGTGTCAAGGAAGATGAAGGCTCTGTCTTGTTTCCTGGCCAGGACAGCAGAGAGGCTGCAGGAAACCAGGAGAGGCCCCAAGGGTGAAAGCCAGGGTACACATATGTATGCATTGCATGCATACAATGCGCTGAAGGGACATCAGTCCAAAAACTGAGCCCCAAGTTCAGTTATACTGTGCATTTTATACCCATTTCACCCCTTACCTGCACCCCCCGACCCCGTCTCCAAGCAACCCAAAGTGACATGTATTTTAATTGGCAATGCCAAGCTTTGTCTTAGTGACTTTCCTACTGCTCCACCATTGTGGACTCTAGTCCTCCAGAACCAAAACTCTTCTATATGTTACTGTGGGCTCCTGGTATTTTATTACAGTAACGAAAAAGTAACTCAGACTGCAAGGTTACATTGTTCTCTAAAATCTCATTATGTGAAGAGAGTCCCTATCTTATGTGATGGTACACAGTTAGTACAAGAACTCAGAAATCACTGGTATGAATCTCAAAGTTAGGAAACAAAACAGTCTGAAATGACAGAGACAAAGAAACCACGGAAACAATGCTGGGTGTAGCCACTGCTGCTCCACCTGGAGGCTGCCTCCAGGTCAGGGGATATCTACTGAGCAGGGGATATCACGGCAGCCACCCAAAGCTCAGCATTAGTAGATGTAAATGCAGTGAAATGCCCAGATTAAGTGAAGCTCTCCACAGTGTCAAAATTTTGAACTGGTATGGGTATATCTTGGGGGTAACACTGTTTTCCATAGGATGGATGCACAATAATCTATTTCCCAAGTACTCTATTATTTGGACATTGGTTTGTGATGCTCTGAGAGGCCTGCCATCACAAAACATTGTTGGCAGATCTCTGCGAGTCCAAAGCCAGCGGGATCTACATAGCAAATTCCAGGCTAGCCAGGGCTACGGGGTAAGATCCTGTCTCGGAATAACAAAAACCCCTCATTTGTCTTTTGACAAAGTAATTTCAGTTTTGGATAATTATTTTTAAAAGAAAATTGCATGTGCACACCCCCTCACATACACACAAATTAGTGCTACATATAATAGTAGTACTAGGTCCAAATGTAATAACTAACGAGTGGGGGAACATTAATGTTGAACACACTGTAGCATATCTATAAAACTAAGCGGCCTTACAGGACAGTGGTTTCCACACTGTCAGGGTTCGGTTCACCTGTTACCCTATTGCAGACCCACTGAGAAAGTAAAGTCACAAGTGGCCCAGGAAGCAGCCGGTCTTCGGCAAGTCGGGTCCGGAGTGCAAGCAGGGCCCCTGCTTAACAGTTTAATGGGCTTCTCCAACTCACAAGTGAGGGCAAAGGGCACTTTCTCGACCAGAGACCCAGCCCTTCTGCAGAGCCCGGGTCACCATGACAACAGGAGGCTTCCAGGCACTGACAGCGAGATGTGGACCAGGGTCGACCTAACTTGGAATCGGCAGAACCCAGGAAGAGTCCCTGCCCCACCAAGACCTCATTTTGTCATTTGTGGGGTTAGGATAAAGCCAAGAGCTTTCCTGCTACCAGGAGACTGAATATCAACTAGGCCACTCATGAGATTGGGCTGGCCGCGGACCCCGCCTCTTCCGGCGCCACTATGGCATCACCATGGCAACCCGAGGGCCAAGTCAAGTTTTTCTGACTCTTAGAACTACTCAAGAGCTCCTTCCCCCGGCCTGTAGGAGCTTGCATCACCATGACAACTCAAAGGCCTCTCAGTTCTCTTTACTGACCCTTGCAGGGTCCTTAGGGGTCACGGCCCCAGGCTCTTCCGGCTCCTTGCTCATCCTTCACCATGGCAACTGGATGCTGGTAGCAGTTGCGGGGCTCGGGTTCACGGTGGCTTGCTACTGCTGGGGAGGGACGGATGTGCGCAAGGCTGCGGGTGTGGGGAAATACTTGGGCCCAGGAGAGAAGTATCTGAGGTGCTAGTGGCTGGCTGGCATTTCCTCCCTTGGTTAGCATGGCGCACTGGTGTGGCGGTTGCTCCCGAGTGTGGCCAGCAGGGGCGTAGGTGCACCTCGCGGTTGGCAGAGGGCTGTAGCTCAAAGGCACAGAGCATTCTGCCTTGGATCCTGGGTCACAATCACTTCACTGAGGTCTCCTCCAGCAGATCTCTATGCAGTCCGGAGTCCACTCGCTCTCAGTCTGTATCTGTCCCCTGCTCTTGACGACCTAGTATGTGATTAAGAGTATGGACTCTGGACTCAGGCTTCATCCGGAAGAAATGATAATGATAGTAATATATTAAGGCTAGTTTGAGTATTAAACAAGGTAATGGGACAAGGTATACATTCAGCCTTAGTTTCTGTCACATGACAAGTACTCAGTAAATGTTAGTTGCTTTTAGATTACCCTGGGCAAGTCACTTAGCCCCCTCTGCATTTAAAGTTAACCTTGCCTCTTAGAAAAATAGGGATAATAGTACCCTCTAACACAATTATGACAGTGCTACAAAGTCCCTAGAATAACACCAGGTATGCAGTAAATGCTATTTAAGTACTCTATGATTACACCATTGTGCTGGCTAGTTTTATGTCAGCTTGACACAAGCTAGAGTCACTGGAAAGGGGGGAACTTCAAGTGAGAAAATGCCTCCATAAGATCCTACTGTAGAGCATTTTCTTAGTGATTGTTGGGGGAGGCTCCAGCCCACTGGGCAGGCTCTATAAGAAAGCAGGCTGAGCAAGCCATGAGGAGCAAGCCAGTAAGCAGCATCCTCCACGGCCTCTGCATCAGCTCCTGCATCCAGGCTCCCTGCCTGTTTTAATTCCTGTCCTGACTTCCTTCATTCATGGACTATGGTTGTGAATGCATAAGCCAAATAAACCCTTTCCTCCCCAACTTGCTTGTGGTCATGGTGTCTCATAACAGCAATAGAAACCCTAACTAGGACAACCATCACATTGTTACCACTGTTATGTTTGCCCCGGAAAGTCAGGAAGAGTTGCTTTTTGATTTTTTATTTTTTCCTGCCACCACCAGAACTTTTAGTTCCTTGCTGGAGTGTAGGAATGTTTGCTTACAAGCCTTTTACTTCTCAGTGTTTTAGACTTTTATACAGGACTGGGCTGTGAGTCGGGTAGACTTTCCGCTCGGTTGTGCCACTGGTTCTTTGTGTGAAGTTGAGTAAGTTCTGTGTTTTCTTCACCCATCCTTAAGGGTCTTTATACAAAGGGTATTAGCTGTCTTTAGCCTCTACTGGCAAGGAAATGTCTTCAGTAAAAAGGACCTCATTCCCGGGAACTCTTAGGACAGTGAGAGCAAGGGGCGGGTGTGATGAAACAGGTGCTGTGAGATGCTAGACTGGACAGGAGGTTTCCCAACGTGTACATTAATCTCTAGGAAAGAAACTGCCAATACATTCATCTGAAGGGACAGTGCAAATGTCTCCACCACAAATAAAAATCAAGGAACGTGACATTGTTATCCTCTAAAGCCTTCTTCTAGCCCCGCTGGCAGCAACAAATCTCCAGTTCCCTGTTGCTGCAATCCGACCGTGGTATGATGAGCCAGCCTTGGACTTCCTGTACTTCCAGCTGAAGCAAGAGCATCTGGCTTTGTTCTTCAGGAGCCCTTCACTCACTAGAGAGTGAAGTCTCTATCCTAAGCTTAAGCTACTAGGTTAAAGGATTAGTAATGCTTCCTGGAGATGATTGACGTTCTGCCATTTGACTTGCAATGTGAACTTAGAAAAACATCTGAGTTGGACTTTCCTATCTCTAAAACAAGGAAAACATGATGCTGTTGTAATGATGGAATGATACTGCTCTTGAAGCATTCATAATTATTACCTGGTACGTAACAAGTACTCATAAAACAACAAAAAAAGTTATCTGTTCTGTAAAAAGAAAAAAATGCCAAACAAACTACCGTCATCATGACTATTGGATTGATAGCTTACAAAAGATAGTAGTTTTTTTCCCAGTAGTCTTTTTATTCTCTTTAATGCCTGGCATATCATACAGGCTCAGGAAATGTTAAAGGCATGAGCAAATCTTGATAATAGCAAATTTCACATGGCAGCTAATATTTACTGAACATTGTGTCTGAAACTGTATTAAGATCAATTACCTCCTTTAATTCTCCTTTCATTTTTGTCTAGCCCCCCTCCTCTTCCTCATTCTCCTGCTTTCTGAACTTGGGATTAAACCTAGGGCCATGTATATGGTAAGCATATATATATATATATGCATGTATATGTTCTAAGAGTAAGCTATGCCTTCAGGACTCATTTGTTTTGTATTTTGACAGGGTTTTCCTAAATTGCCCTGGCTGGCCTTGAACTTGCCATCCTGCTTCAGCCTACTAAGTAGCTAAGACTACAATTCTTTATTACCAGGTGTGGCTTAAGTCTGACTTTCTGATTTGACTCCTGAAGCATCATTGATTTACAGAATCTTAAGAGTCCAGAAGCTGAAACTCATGTCTGCTGCATATTCCTAGATGGCTTGCTTACCATGTACCTAGTGAATGAAATGCATCGTGTTTATTTCCAAATTTTGGCAATTATGAATAAATTATGCTAGAAGCATCTATGTACATGCTTGCATGCTTGTCTTGCTTGCTTATTTTTTTTCAGCAGTCTTGCTGTGAAGCTAAGGGTGATCTCAGGCTCATAATTCTCCTGTTTCAGCCTTTAGTGCTAACATTGTAGACATCATAGGCACCCGGACCAGGTAAATGTGCAGTTTTGTGTGGTCATGTTTCAAGGCCTTTGAGTATTGCCATGGAGTACAATTGTGAGACCATTTAGTTTTGTTTGAAATTGACAGACTCATCTCGGGTGACTTCCACTCCGTCAGTGAATTAGAGTTTCAGGTGTTAAAAGTGGGTCTGGGATCCCAAGAAAATGACCACACAATCCAACACATTTATGTAAGGCAAAATGCTTTACTTCTGCAGAGAGTTCATAGCCATGCCAAATCAAGCAGGCGAGCATGCACACCCAGCGGGGATCCGATAGATTTTTATTCCTAAACGAAGGGGTCCTGCGCTGCATCGTGGGTGGTCCCAGCTCACAGCCTTACATTCTTACAGGACTAGATAATAAGCAGCTGATAGGCAGCATGCAATCCTGAGCACCCCCTGCCATCTTGAGCACATAGATTTTGATCTCTAGGAGTGCTGATGCTGGAGGAATTTGAATTTCTTCCAAGTGGCTTCTCTATGATTTTTGTTTTGTTTTGGGTTTTGGGGTTTTTTGTTTGTTTGGTTTTGTTTTTGTTTTTCGAGATGAGACAGGGTTTCTCTGTGTAACAGCCCTGGCTGTTCTGGAACTCATTTCGTGACCAGGCTGGTCTCAAACTCACAATCTGCCTCCCAAGTGCTGGGATTAAAGGCATGTCCCATCACGCCTAGGTGCGATTTTTTTCCTTAATGAATTTTTTGTCTTATTTAACTCTTTTACATTTCCAGTGCAGAGAGTGTGGTGTTATCAGTGTTTCAGATTTTGCCATTCTGGGAGATATGTTGAATCTGTCTCATTTCATTAGGAAAACAGTGAGGCTTTCTCAGAACTCACTATCAAACTCCACCTAGTCAACCACTACGTGGCCAAAGCTACGTTATAAGACCATCCCAAGACAAAAGGGGGAGTCTAGAATGTAAGGCCTATATTTGAATTTATAACCTTTCTGGTAGAGGCCAATAAGGGAAGTCCTGGTTTCATTTCTGATGAAGTGATAGAATATCCTGACAAAAGCAATATCCAGGAAGCAGGGTTTATGTGGCTTACAATCCCAGGTTATCATGTTCTCACTGTTGCTGTGATAAACACCGTGACTAAGAGCAACTCTGGGAAGGTTTATTTAGCTCGCACTTCCACATGAGGTTGGTCAGACAAGGCACTCAAGCAGGAGCCCGGAAGCAGGAACTGAAGCCGAGACTATGAAGGAGTGAGGTTTCCTGGCTTGTTGTCTGGCTCACATCCATCTACTTTTCTTGTACAGCCCAGTCCACCTTCCTGGAGACGGCAACACCCACAGCGGGCTGGGCCCCACTACATAAATTAGCAATAAAGACAGGCCCACAGGCCAGTCTGTGGAAGCAACCCTCCAACTGATAGTCTCTCAGATAACTCTGGGCTGTGTCAAGTCGACAGAGAAGCTAACCAGGAGATCCCATCCTTTGCCAACTGGACACAAAAATGTATCTCACATCGCTACGGTAAAATACTGTACAGCTTTAGAAGTTTCACAGTCTTTTAAACTGCCCATACGTTATGTTTTCAACGTCTATTTATAAGTTCAAAGTCTCTTAGCTGTGGGCTCGTGTGAAATACAAACCAAGTCTTATGCTTTCTTGTTCCAGAAGTAAAGGATGTGGGCATAGGAATAATCAGATTAAGGCAAAGCTCTGGTCCTGTATATCCCAGACTCCCACATCTGAGACTTGTGATCTTCTAGCTCCAAAAGCTTGGGTAGCTCGCTCCACTTTTCCACTCTGCCATCACGGCACACAAGCTTGTCGTGCAGGCTCAGGCCAGCTCTGCCCTGGCACCTGACACTGTCTATGGTGGGCATTCCATGTCTTCTCTAGTGGCCTCTCTTGTCCTCTTTTTGGGGACTCTGACTCTGCCACACTGTCTCTCTATGCCACACAGCTTCTCTCTGTGATCCCCTCAATCCTGCAGCTTTCATGTTGCCAAAGCCAGGATCTTGTGGTGGACTTACACATTACCAGGTTCAGCTACGAGCTTGTGGTGCA